TGGGATACCGAGGATCACAAAACGAGGTGTGAAGTAACCATGCAAATCACTTGGTACCCTTAAAGTTTATCACTCAATCGATGTGCCGGTAAACCACACACACTCCACCGATACTATAATAAACCTTAAGTCACCCTTTACCTACCTTGTTAAGTCCAAGTTAGTGTGCCGGTTAACCACACACGCTCCACCAACGACTTAGACAAAGTGTAAAGTGTAATTTCATGGATTAGCACCTTATTCACATTTTCCTAAAGTAACTAAGATTGGGAATTTAATAAAACATTTAGTTACTTTATAATATTCATCATACTTTGAATGAGAATTTATAAGTCCTTGTCTTACCCGTTCGGCTAACGACCCTCCACCAGTCAAGCAAGCGGTGGGTGAGAGAACACCCATTAAGTCACCATTTTATAGGCAACAACCTTATACCCACCTTATAGACCGGCTTCGTGAATGAGGCGTACTAGCGGTAAGACGACTTTGTTCTTATACATATATATATATATATATATATATATATATATATATATATATATATATATATATATATATATATATATATTAATCATCATAATATAAGTATAAGGGTTGAATTTTAACTTTTAAAATTCTAGGGGTTGGAACTAAAGTTTTAACTTAACTTTACTTGTTCCAAAACTTGAGGGCAAGTTTTGTAACTTTCAAAACTTTTCATTTCTTGTAACTTATGAGTTTAATAGAGTAATAAAATGAAGACTCTTCATTTTCTAACTCTTGTGTTCTTTTAATGGTTTTAATTCAAGTGTGACTCTTGGTTTTCCATAACTTGAGGACAAGTTATGGACTCCATTAAAACACATTATGATCAAGAATTAATCTACCACATAGGTTACAAATAATTCCTATGATCATCTAAAACATCATAAGAACAAGAACATGAATATGAACACATTCATAAATCAAAAATTACACTTAAAACTTTGTAATTTTGATAACTAGTTGTTGTAAATGAATTAGCAAAGACATTACACCATCTAAAACAAGTTTTCAAGTACCAAAACAGTTTAGGGTAATGTTTCTAATTCATTTCCAGCAACTGAAGTCGAAATTCTGCAACCTGTCGACCCTACTCGCCGAGTGCATGAACTTACTCGCCGAGTTGGTTGAAGATACACGTGAACTCGACGAGTCCCCCCTATAGACTCGATGAGTCCCCCATATAGACTCGACGAGTCCATTCGTAGACAACAAGATTTTCGACTTTTTTCAACTTTTAAGCACAAATAAAAAGCAAACAAGCCTAGGCTCTGATACCATTGATGGGTTTTGAGCATTCTAACACTTACTAAGTGTACATGCAACCCTAATAACCTTGGATCTATGTTTGTCTAATTATCATGCAAAGTTGAATTCCAAGGCTATATTCCTATCTAGCATACATGGGGAACAATTTTAACTTGAATGATAGATAGAATAACTTACCTTGTTGTTGCTTGTGTTCCTTGAAACCTTGTGAGCCTAGCACCCCAAGTGTGATGCCTCAAATGCTTCACACAACACCAAATGCTCTTGGAAAAAACTTATGAGAGAACACACACTTGTTGAAATCGGCCAAGCCCTCTTGTTTCCTTAGTGTAGCCGATTTTGGTGGAGAATGACATCCTTATATAGTGTTGACACATCTAGGGTTACACCATGTAAACCCTAATGTGTCATGACTCTTCATTTCCATGACCCATGGGTTTGTAACTTCCATGGGGGCATCCATGGAGCATCCTATGGGTGGAACCCAACTTGATAATCCATGGAGCCTCTTAGCCCACTATACAAGATATGTATGATTTACATAATCAACCCATATATTTAATTAGTTATCTTTTGATCACTTAATTAATTCTAAATTAATTCTTGATCAAACTAATCAAATAATATTATTAATATATTAGAACTTATAATATATTAATAATCTCCAAGTGTTATTTCTCTCATTTAGTCTATCTAATTGCATGGTGCCATGCAACCTAAATGGACCATGCCGGGTCGGGTCAAGTACATACCAGAAATAGTTATGGACTTAGACACCTTATCCAACACATCCAGTCGAGAGGACCGAAGGGGAGACCAGCACTCAAATATGCTAGTCAGTATCCGGTCGAGAGGACTGAAGGGGTAGGTCGGGCACCCAGATATGCCTGACAACATATGTATGTTATGTGGTTATTTGGTATGTGGTACGGTGAGGGAACTCACTAAGCTTTGTGCTTACGGTTTATAGTTTTGTTTTCAGGTACCTCCTCAGCGAAGGGGAAGGAGCTGGCGCGGTAACGGCACATCATACACGCACATTGTTTTCCGCACCATGAGTCATTCTGGGATTTTGTACTCTGATATTTGATTGTTTTTATATTTCGGTTTTCAGACACGATGTATGTTATGAATTGGTTTGATCAGACAATGTTTTATTTACAAATGTTTTCTAAAGTATTGATTTAAAAACAAAATTTTTGGACGTGAAATTTGGGTCGTTACAAATTGTCACTATGGTTTGTCAGAAGTCATAAAGTCAGTCCTTGCTAATATTTTTTTTGATGAAAATGGTCATTGTGGTTTGCAAAACTTGCACAGATTGCCCTTTTTACTAACTATGTTAGTATTCAGCTGTTAGGGAGTACATTCGTAAGGGCATTTTCGTATTTTTAAGTATAAAAAGGACTAAATCCGTGAAATTCGATAAACTACAAAGACTATTTTTGTAATTTGTTTTAAAATAATATAAGTGATAGAAAATTAAAGCAGTAGGATTCGACCGCAAAGGTGGGACCTCCTACCCCTCTCCCTTAAACAACAAAAGTCTTAACCAACTAGGTTGAAGTCTCACTTGTTTTCTACTTTTGAAAACTAGTTAATATTATCCACAAATCGTAAATAAATTAATTATAAAAAAAAAAAAAAAAAAAAACATATTTTACGAAAATCTTTTTCTAATAACACAAAATATATTTTTAGCTTTGTAAAAAAGATTACAAACAATTTATATATATTTTTACGTATGTGTTTTACGTAAAATATATTTTTTTATATATTTTAAAAAAAATACAATTTAAATTGCTATCAGATAAAAAAAACATATTTGACATAAAATAAATATATATAAAACACTTTTTTTTATGTTTTTTTAGAATTGGCTTTTTTTTGTATAATATGTTATTATGTTTTTTTATGGATTTAAAAATATATTTTCATATTATAACAACGTAAGAACATTTTATATGAAAACATATTTTTTAAATATATAAAAAAACATATTTTACATAAAGTAAATACGAAAAAAATATTTTTTTTTCTATGTGAAAGAAAAAAATATATATATGAAAAAGTAAAAACATATATTTAATGTAAAACAAATACGTAAAAGAAACATATAAATTGTTTGTAATTTTTTTACAATACACTAAAAACATATTTTGTTTTATTAAAAAAAAAAATGTTTTTTGTAAAAGATTTTTTTTTATTTTTTATTATTAATTTATTTACGATTTGTAGACAATATTAATTAGTTTTCGAAAATATGAAATAAATGTGACTTTATCTTAATTGGCTAAAAGCTTTGTTTGATTAAAGAAGAGGGCGAGGAGGCCACAAGTTTAAATAATACTCCCTTCATTTTCTACCATTCATATTATTTTAAGACAAATAATAAAAATGATCGTTGTTGTTTACTAAATGTCACGAAATCATTCTATTTTCCTTTGAAAAGACGAAAGTGTCTTTCTAATAGCTGAATACAAACGAAATTAGTAAAAATGGTTATCAGTGCAAGTTTTGCAAACCATAAAGATCATTTGCATCCAAAAAAAATTAACAGATGCTAACTTTATGATTTTTGGCAAACAAAGAGATATTTTTATAATTTTGTCTTATTATGAAACTAAAAAACAATTTTACTAACTTTTGTTTACTATAGTTATATTATTACGAAACAAAAAAATAAACGAATAACGCATAGACTGATCAATCCAACGTAATCAATTACATTTTTATATATAACACCGTAAATTTGTCACTTTTGACAAATCAGATGACCATTTTTGTAATTTTGTCTTATTAGGAAATTACACTACTAGAAACATAAATTTCAGCGACGGAATTAGCTACGGATTCTAATTCTATCCATAGCTAATTAGCGACGGATTACCGAGGGATCAGCGACGAAACACACAAATATTTTGACCAAAATACTTATAGACTTTTAGAGAGGTATTACCGAGGGATCAACAACTAAATTGCAAGAATTTATCAACAAAATCGCTCCTCGCTAATCCGTCGCAAATTAAAACATTTTAGTGAGGGAACAACGACGGACTTATAAAATCACAAGCCTTTTTTTCCCATCCCTCGCCAATCGCTCACAGAAATGGACGCCTTCTTTTTTTCATTCCCCGCCTTTCTTTCTTTTTTCTTTTCCTCGTTTTATTTTCATTCCCAAACTCTAAACAATTTTCTCCAAAAGCCGTAATCGACCTCTGTCAACTCAAATTCCTCCTCCGCCCGGAAAATCACCTCCACCACCGTCAACCTGTGTCGTCCCCCTTTGAAGTATACTTGAAAAGTATAGGAAAACCTCATAAATCACATCATCTCTTGCTTTCCTCTCGGTCCATATGCTTTCCTCGTTGACTCGTCGTTTCCTGCAACAACAATTGGTCTATTGGTTCATCATTTATCGTAAACTCTAGCTTTCATCACCTTCCTAGTCTGGTTTCTGGTTGTCTATAAGTTCTATTTTCATGTAGCTCTCTTTCTTCTCTTACATTTTAAATCAAATCAGAATTCGTTTTTCTAAGCACTGCCTTCTATAATTCCTTAATTTTGGTTTTCCTAGGGTTTTCTTGTTACTGACATACATTTTTTTTTCCTATTACAATTTAATAATCTCACAGGATGAGTTTGTATGATATGAATTTGGTACTGGGTGTAGGCATTTGACAAGGGGCTTGATATCAAAAACGACAAGAATGTATAGAGTGGCCAAAAGATGTGTTGCCGGAGCAATTAACAACTACACCACTCAGCTACTCGACTATGGCAAACAAGCATCTCAGTGTAATTAATTTCACAAATTTCTTCATTTGATTCTTTGCTTCTAGATTTTATCAACTTTGAAGAGGAAAAACATTATTATAAATTTGCAGATAATCTCACAGAAGCTCTGCTCTTTCTTTCTCATTTCATGGGAGATATTCATCAAGTATGTGATAGTAACCAATTTGACTTTATTATCTAACAAGTTAAAAGACTAAATTGCCCCTGTCATGTAAGATTCACTTCGGATGGAAGTGGGAACACGATTAATGTTCATTGGTTCACATGAAAATCAGTACTTCATCATGTAAAACTCCTAAAATAGTTACCATTATGTAATCTAAATTAAAAGTATGTTTTAACTTGAAAATAAGTTTCTCACCGATCACACCATCTTCATTTTGATTGTAGTAGCTTTCAAATCCATGGAGGATCACAAAAAACAGATGGAACTTGAAGAAGCCCGAAAAGTTGGGCGTGCTCCTGCAAAAGTTGATGAAGATGGAAAAGATATTAATCCATATATTCCTCAGTATATGCCATCTGCTCCTTGGTATCTCAATGCAGAGAGACCTATACACCTTTTTCCATTTTCTTTTTCTTGCATTCTCATTAATCATGTCACCATATAACTAAAAGTAAAACCATCTTTTATGTGTCCTGAAGCGTTTAAAACATTAAAGGAAATGGAAGTCAGATCCTAATTACACAAAGTCATGGTATGACAGAGGAGCAAAAATATATCAAGCTGATAAGTACAGAAAGGGTGCATGCAAAAAGTAAGCAAATTTTGTTTTACTTTTCTAGTTTTTATAACTTGATTGCTAAATTTGTTAATTGTTTAAGTTGTGGAGCTATGACACACACAACCAAGACACACATGGAGAGGCCACGTAAGCTAGGGGCAAAATGGACAAGTAAAAACATAGCACCTGATGAGAAAATAGAGACTTTTGAGCTTGATTATGATGGAAAAAGAGACATGTGGAATGGGTATGATGCAACATCTTATGCTCATGTGATTGAACGATATGAAGCTTGTGATGAAGCTAGAAAGAAATTCTTGAAAGATCAACAACTTAAGAAGTTAGAGGAAAAGGGTAACTCTCAAAATGTGGAAGAAGCTGTTAGTGATGATGAAGATAATGTTGGATTAACGTCTAAGTCCATAACTATAATTGGTAAGACTTGACCCGACCCGTCATGGTCCATTTGGGTTGCATGGCATCATGCACTTGGATAGACTATAATGAGATAAATAAGACACTTATGGTTATTAATAGATTATAAGTTCTAGTATATTAATAATAAGAATAATGAGATTATTTAATTAGTATTGATCAAGAATTAATCTAGGATTAATTAAGAGATCAAAAGAAGACTAATTAAATATATGGGTTGATTGTATAAATCATCCATACTTGTATAGTGGGCTAATGCTCCATGGATAATCAAGTTGGGCTAAAACCCATAGGATGGTCCATGGATGCTCCATGGTGTATTTGAACCCATGGATCCAAGGAAATGGAAAGTCATGACAATTAGGGTTTACCCTAATTGTAACACTATATAAAGATCTTATTCTTAACAAAATCGGGACTAGTATTATTCTAGAGAGGGCTAGCCGATTTCATGAAGTGTAGAATTCTCTCTAATTTATTCCAAGTGTTTATGGTGTTGTGTGAACCATTTGAGGTGTCACACTTGGGGCACTAGGCACTCAAGCTTCATGAAGACAAGCACTAACAAAAGGTATGTTATTCTAACTTGTGTTATTTAACGTTTAGTATGCTAGAATAGAACAATACCTTGGAAAGTTGATATTTGCATGTATAATAGAGAAAACATAGATCCAAGGTATTTAGGGTTGCATGTACACTTAGGAGTGTTAGAATGCTCAAAACCCAACAGTGGTATCAGAGCCTAGGCTTGTTTTCTTGTTATACCTGCAATAGAAGCTGAAAAAACGAATTTGTTGCTGTCTGATCATCAGACTCGGTGAGACCATCAGGAGACTCGGCGAGTCCATGTCTAAAAAGTGATCAAATCGATCCAACTCGCCGAGTTGGTTCATGCACTCGACGAGTTGGACCCCCAAACAGCATAAATTCGACTTTTTGGCTGGAATTGGACTAGGAACATTACCCTAAGATGTTTTTGAACTTATAAACTTGTTTTTGATGTGGTAATGTTCATGCTAATCCAATTTTAAAGATAATTGTCGATAGATTCATGTTTTGGATTAGTTTAAGGTTTAGACTAATTACATGAAAAAAGTTTGATTTGAATTATCTTGTTCTTATGAGTTGCTTAGATTAATAGAAAAAGTTGAGTGAAAAAGTTGTTTTCAATCCAAATTAATCTAAGAGTTGATTCTAAAATGTGTTTTTGTAACTTGTCCTCAAGTTATATGAAAAGTCACATTTAAGTTTCATAAAACTCATAAAAGTTGGCAAAGGTTACAAAAATGAAGAGTCTAGTTCTAATTAATTGGAGTTATGACTCCATAATTTGTCCTCAAGTTATGGAGGACCAAGAGTCTTTTCATTAAATAAAAAACAATAAAAAAAAAGTGTAACCTTAATTAATTCCATAAGTTATAAAAATAAAGAAAAGTTAATTCTTTTATTAGTTTAAAGTCTTCCATAAGTTATGGAACTTGAAGAGTTTTTGGATTAAAACTACTTTAAACACATAAGTTATGGAATTAATTAGTTTTGAATAGTTTCAAAACTTGCCCTCAAGTTTTGGAATTTGTAAGTTTTCTCTTATGAATACTTTAATTCCAAGTTAGCCCTTAGAATTTTAAAAGTTAAAATTCAACCCTTATACTTTATAATATTATAAGTTAATAATATATATATATATATATATATATATATATATATATATATATATATATATATATATATATATATATATGTATATGTATAAGAGTAAAGTCAGTCTTACCGCTAGTACGCCTCATTCACGAAGCCGGTCTATAAGGTGGGTATAAGGTTGTTGCCTATAAAATGGCAACTTAATGGGTGTCCACTCTCACCCACCGCTTGCTTGACTGGTGGAGGGTCGTTAGCCGAATGGGTTTGACATGACTATAGTTCTCCTTTCATTAAAAGTATTAATGAGAAATACTAAGTAACTAAACTCTTAATAATACCCAATCTTAGTTACTTAGGAAAATGTGAATAAGGTGCTAATCCATGAAATTACACTTTGCACTTTGTTTAAGTCGGTTAGTGGAGCGTGTGTGGTTAACCGGCACACTAACTCGTATTTAACAAGGTAGGCAAAGGGTAACTTAATGTTTATCATCGTATCGATGGAGCGTGTGTGGTTAACCAGCACATCGATTGAGGGGTAAACACTTAAGGGTACCAAGTAATTTGCATGGTTACTTCACACCTTGTTTTATGATCCTCGGCATCCCAGTCACAAAAACTGAAGGGCACACTGGAGATTGAAACATGCCATTGAACAGTTCAATGAATCTCAAAGATCTAGGAGTTTCAAATCCGATTAAAACCTAATAATACATTTCGTTTATCTTGGTGGAAATTGGTGAATCGTCATTCGCCTACCTTCAAATATTTTATAGCTTGGATTACGGCATACCTCTTCTAAGTTATAAAAATAGTTTGTTGGGTCCTAGCCTTAATATTTCATATTGGGTGTCATATTAACGACTTTAAGATCAACTATCTTGAATATCTCCCAAAAGATGTCTGGTTTAGACATTTATGATCTTCCCAAATCTCTTGAAACAAGCTTTCCTAAATGAAGATGATGTCCCATGGAAATCATACTTCTTTCACCTCCTCCAATTATTCTACCTAACCCACAAGTTCTTGAAAAGTTTAAGGTCACTCAAGCCCTATTGGCAAGGCAAGGTCTAGGTGTGATCACATCTTGGAGATGTAGTCACATATTGACAAGTCGGGAGAGTTGGGTGTCAAAGTCTTGAGAAAGTTGGTGGTTCAACTACTTTCTAAGTCACATAGTGAGTTCCTTTGGGACACCTATGAAACAGACTATGACAAGACCCTTAATGATCTTATCTGTTTGCTAAGATCAACTTCCTAAAACTTAATGGACATTGACAATGATGACATTGGATATCTAGTAAAGCATTCTCTTCCTAATGGAAAGGGATCGGCCATAGTTAACTCGGTTGACCAAATGGTAAAGAGAAAAGCTAAGTCTGTGATAGTCTCGTGTACAATTATCAAAGGGTCCATATGTTTATATTGCCAAAGGAAGGGGCATTGGTTGCAAAGCTGCCAAGTTTACCTAAGGATGTTAAAGTCAATAAGTTTGACTCCACTTCAGGTAAAGTCCACTATCTAACTCTGCTAAGTTTCTATTCTGAGATTCTTATTACATGATGTGACAAGGTCACATGTTGATGTTTTAAGAATCAAAGAAAATTGAAGGAACTTAAAGGAAGAATATGTTGAATCTGATCACATAGATGGATTTCTATCGCGTAATTTGAAGATCGGATTCTTGAGCTACTTCTTAGGAGTTATGAGATATTGCTTAGGAATAGATAACAACAAGTTTTCATATGGATTGTAAGGATAAGTTTTTCCGCATAGTTTTAAAATAAAAGAAAATTTTTGATTTTAGTTATTTTAAAATATCCTTACAATGGCATTTGAGGAAAAATTGTTGCTTATATGATTCCATTAATAGCAAGAGTGGAAATATGAAATTGATTCTTTCATTTGTGGTAATGTCTAAATTTACCAAATAAGGAAAGATTCTCATCACCCAAGTCTCAATTGGACCGGGACTTGGAATCATGCAAGTTGTATAGCATGATGAATGAGAACTTTCAAGTATTGGAAAAATTAAGACTAATTACTTGTTCACTTGGATGTGTGAGTCAAGTAATGGACTAAGGGATCGAGTACATAGTCATGTGCACTGATTAAGTCCACCACAAAAGATCAATAAGATTATTCGTCATAATTTACTAAAGTTCAGTAAATATGATTATACTTACAAGTTCAAGTGTAACTATGAGACATTGGAAAAGATTCCAACGTATGGCAGAGTGAATAAGAAGAATCAACTTAGGCAGAAAGATAAAAGTTTCTCAAATCTGAAAAGATGGGAGAGTACTTTAGTACCCAGTTTTGTGATCATCTTAATGATTAAGAAACCATATCAAAATTAGTTCTCTAAGGAAGTCTTAGTGCATTCTTATGACTAAGAAGAAGGGATCTTGAATTGTTGAAATGGTTAAATCAAGAAGATGAGTCATACTTCGTTCCAATACAAGTCTTAGAGTCATACTCCAAGATTATAATTTGAGTGACATGTCTTTAAGAAGGTTTAAAAACACTTATCAAATGTAAGAGTAAAAGTTTTCTACTCTTGTACATTTAAAATTGGTAAGTTGTGATGTTTTGGATAAAACAAAGACCAACTAAGGCCAATTGTGTGAAGTGTTTGTCTTGATTAGAATCCGCACTATCTCTTGGATGATTGACAACGGAGTCTTATAGGTCAAGAGGACAGTGGGAGTCTTAAAGGTCTTGAAAGTCTCAAGAACTAATCAAGAATGAAACTTGAAGTTCCTCACTAGCACACAACTTGAGGTTTATAACCTATCGTGTTGACATATTCTATGCCCATTCCAGTTAAAGTTGGCTTTGCATATGAGTTCTTAGAGTTCTCAATGTGTTGCACAACAACTTGGAAGCAATGGCGGGCCCTTGAGCTGCCAGGTGGCAAGAAGTTAAGATTGAGTTCAGTCCATATGAGTTCGGATTTGTCATTATCCTTGTCTTGTGACTATGGTTTTGACAATTTACATGGATAAGAACACATACACCATTAAATCTAAGTGTCATAAGGTTTCTCTCCGATTCATAAAAATGATGGTGAGGAAACACTTTCACTAAGTAGATTTTAGCTAGATAGCAATTGTGATGTTTGCATTCTCAAAGTCGTTAGTGGAGCGTGTGTGGTTTACCGGCACACTAACCTGGACTTGTGAGAAGTGACCAAAAGGTCTAAGCATTATGATTACGGCATCCCTCTTCATAATTGTTTAGACATACAAGTGTGTTATCTAAGGGAAGGTGTATGTTTTGTTTGATAAAGTTTTATCAAAATAATCTAGTATTGGAAATCTGAACTTTGGTAAGAAAGTCAGCTGATTTCTGAGTACATGTCAAAGCTAGTGGGAGCATAAGTGTTATGCTAATAATCATCATGTTAGTGGGAGCATGATAATTATGATAAGTATTGCAAGTTAGCAATGTTAATTATAGAAAACAAAAGGTTTCAATTGGGAAAAAGTTGTTTTGCTATAATTAAGGGAGAGGAAATTATACTTCATCTCAAATCTATAAGCTTAGATCGTGAGGTTTTAATCATTTAGTCAAGGAAATATATATGAATTTCATGTTGGAATGGCTCAACATAAGGAAATTATGTATATGGGTCCATTATTTGCGTTCTTAAATTCGATTATGATTACGGCATCCCTTTTCATAATCTGAATTATGAGAACTTGGCAAATAGAAATGGAAATGTTATAGCAAAAGACTGGTTTAGTCTTTATGTGAGACATCATGAATCGTGTCCCATATGCTTCGGATATAGGATCGATTACATGTGCTATATTCATCCTTTCTAAAAGTTTCCAAATGCCTGGGGCATTAAGAAGGAAAAGGTTTAGAACTGGATATGACTAAAAGGATTAAACAATTGTCGAAGGACAATCTAAGGTTTACCAAAGATTGGTTGCTCAAGGACAGTTGGAAGTATAGTGATAATTCTGGAAGGACCATATTGACATAATCTGTAAGGAGGCAACTCTTGATAGTCAAAATCAATCTGGAAATGTTTCAAAGTCAGAAATTTCAATCTGTGTAAGATTAAGGAAACTTAATGCAAGAAGGATGTTTCCAAGGAATTGATCTCCTTTGGAATACTCTGTAATGATTGTTGCCAAGTCTTTGTGAATTTGTGCATAATCGTTACAAGAGGATCAATGCATATAAGTTTAGAATCTAACAGATTTCAGTAAATGGCATGAATTTGGAATTCTTGCATTTGCAGTAAGGATTTGGGAGTGTGAAAAGAGAATCATTGAAGTTATGTTCAATTGATCTAGTTCACAAAGTAAAGATCATAGACAAACATAGTATGCATACTTGGTGTATGGCATGACTAGTGTTTAGAAAACATAGTGTACATGCTTGGAGCATGGGACAACTATTGTTTTAAATTCAAGAATAAAGTTGATAGCTGAAACAGTATACAATGAATAATGTGTAATCATATGGTGATAAATAAAAGGTGTTTTATTTATGTTCATAGGTTTTGATACCATATTGGATTCAATTATTATTGTGTTTCACTTTGCATGTTTTGACTTCCCAAATAAACTAGGTTATTCTTCCGGAATGACTAAGTTATTCAAACCATCCACAGTCGGTCATATGTTGGAAGTAGATATGAATTAAGACTGTCATGGGTTGGCTTGTAGAGGTCTAAGGTGTTGGACAAAGGGCTACAACACTCATGAGTGCTCATAAGTTCTGAGTATTGGATTCAACCCGCGCTCATTGGAATCACTTCATGGATTTTATCACGAGTGATCATGAGACGATAATATCTTATATTCTTCAAACCTAGAGATATGAGTTGTTACTATGAGTTGGTTGTACATTGATTGCACGAAACCGCATTTGGTAACTCGGTGCTATAAAACGTGCCTTTGTGTATGATTCAACAAGTAGTAGAACAAGCCATATGAGTCGAAGTTTATCCATTCCTTTTACCTTCGGGATAAAAGCGATATCTGTGGGCCCCTCGATGATTTGATGATGACAAATGGAAGTGCTCGGCCGGGCCAGGACTGATTTGATTTGTTCAATTAGTCAGTCGTCATAAATCGGAAATCGGGAAACAACAAATGGACAGAGAGAATGATTATAATCCATGTCTCAGTCCATATGATATCTAGAATGGGAATATATGATCCCTTATCTAATGGACAAGTCATTGAAAAGGTCAGAGTTTATCGACAAGGTCAGAGTTCGACAGAAGCTTTTGAGAGCTACGATTGCCAGTTGGTTCCTGAAGTCATACGCAATAATAGTTTTAGACTTATCCAAGTGGGAGACTATTGGATTAATGTCTAAGATTAATGTCTAAGTCCATAACTATAATTGGTAAGACTTGACCCGACCCGGCATGGTCCATTTGGGTTGCATGGCATCATGCACTTGGATAGACTATAATGAGAGAAATAAGACACTTATGGTTATTAATATATTATAAGTTCTAGTATATTAATAATAAGAATAATGAGATTATTTAATTAGTATTGATCAAGAATTAATCTAGGATTAATTAAGTGATCAAAAGAAGACTAATTAAATATATGGGTTGATTGTATAAATCATCCATACTTGTATAGTGGGCTAATGCTCCATGGATATCAAGTTGGGCTAAAACCCATAGATGTCCATGGATGCTCCATGGTGTATTTGAACCCATGGATCCAAGGAGATGGAAAGTCATGACAATTAGGGTTTACCCTAATTGTAACACTATATAAAGATCTTATTCTTGACAAAATCGGGACTAGTATTATTCTAGAGAGGGCTAGCCGATTTCATGAAGTGTAGAATTCTCTCTAATTTATTCCAAGTGTTTATGGTGTTGTGTGAACCATTTGAGGTGTCACACTTGGGGCACTAGGCACTCAAGCTTCATGAAGACAAGCACTAACAAATGGTATGTTATTCTAACTTGTGTTATTTAACGTTTAGTATGCTAGAATGTAACAATACCTTGGAAAGTTGATATTTTCATGTATAATAGAGAAAACATAGATCCAAGGTATTTAGGTTGCATGTACACTTAGGAGTGTTAGAATGCTCAAAACCCAACAGATAATGAAGAAACTTTGGTCTTGGAGACCCTCTCACATATTCAAACACTGACATTATGGCATTAAAGAACTACATGGATGTTCAGTATTATGGTGAGATTGGTATTGGAACTCCCTCTCGAAAGTTCACTGTGATCTTTGATACTGGAAGTTCTGATGTATGGGTGCCTTCTTCAAAGTGCTACTTTTCAGTGAATTTTGACTTTTCTAATTCAAGATTTCTCTCAATCTATAACTTCAATCATGTGCTTATAATTCTTGATATGGATACAGGTTGCTTGCCTTTTTCACTCAAAGTACAAGGCGATCCATTCAAGCACATACAAGAAAAATGGTATAGTCTCTTTTGATTTATTCTTGATGGCATTTTCGTAATTAACTGTATTTTCTTCATATGTCAATTAGGGACATCTGCTGCTATTCAATATGGAACTGGAGCTATCTCTGGTATCTTTAGCCAAGACTTTGTCCAACTTGGTGATCTTATTGTTAAAGAACACGTAAGAATTAAGAAATTTTGGTTTTTGATTCACTTAACTACTATTTTCTCATTATACTTTTTCTTTTAATCTATTTTTTTCAGGATTTTATAGAGGCATCACTCTTTTAGCAGCCAAGTTTGATGGTATTCTTGGCCTTGGATTTCAAGAAATCTCTGTTGGAAATGTTGTTCTTGTGTGGTAGTTTTCTTGCCCTGTTTCTTATTGACTTAATTGATACATAACTTAATCAGGACATATATAAAGCAGTGTTTCTTTGAGTTATTTCTAACAGAGGTGGCTTAATATGTTAGTGTCATTTCTAAATAAAGGGTAAATTGGTCATTTACTCAGATTCAGATTGTTAATTAAAATATTTGCATGCCCTTTTAGGTACAACATGGTAAATCAAGGTCGATCCTAATCATTTTAAGGGCAAACACACATATGTACCTGTGGCTCAAAAGGGTTATTTGCAGGTAACTATCTTATTATAACATATATATATATATATATATAGTTCTTTATCTAAATTTCATTTTTCTTTTTGTTTTAAGTTTGATATGGGCGATGTCCTTATTGGAGATACAACTACTCGTAATCTCATGCTATTCTTGTTTTCAATTTCAGGATTTTGCAGTGATGGTTGTGTAACAATTACGGATTCTGGAACCTCTTTGTTGGCAACTCCAATGGTATGTTTTAAAAATTAAGTTTTTATAAATGAGAATTATAAAAAAAAAATGAGAAGTTATATGCTATGAGTAATAACCTTTATTGATTTATCTTTATTTATTTATTTATTTTTATAAATATTTTTTCAAAGATTAATATTATTATATGTTGTTGAATTGGAGTTACTGAACATACATGCGTAGGAAGCATTTGAGAAGGGCAATGATGTCCATATGCAAGCTACTCCTTCACAAGTTGAATTGTTGTATAAGAATTTTAAAGTGAACAAAGAGAAGCTAAAATCTGAAGTGAAGGAGAAGTTGAATATGATCGTGCTGGAAGAATCATCAAAGGCCAAGTATTTTTATATTTTATATTTGCATTAAATTACAAATTTTGGTATGAATATAACTAAAAAAACTATTGTTTTTATTGTAAATTTATTTGGGCTTTAATATTATGCTCAATGAAATTCTTTTTAGGATTAATCTCATAAAAGGCCTTACATTTTGTGTTTTTTTCCGGATTAAACCTCAAATTTATTATTTGCCTTATATCACCTTGTTCATTCCATTCCTTTGTCCATTCCATTCCATCTAAGCAATGACCCTTAGAACATACATCAGAGAAGGGCCCATGGCAAGACAAATTTGAGAAGGGCTCATGGCAAGACAAATTTGATGTCTATGTTTAAGAGATTACAAATTTGATGTTTATGATTGTGTATTTGCTTTTTGGTTGGATTCAGAATTTAATTCCATTCCAGTCCTGCATTTGGTTTCAAATGAGTAAACACTAATCTCTTTTTCATCAACAGAACAGCATTGCTTCCAACAAAGACCCTGAATCTAGCAAAAAGCATGAAGACATCAAGCAACCAAGTCTCCTTCCATCGCATGAAAAACTAAGTGCAAAATTGGTTCTCTCAATTCCATGGGATTGAACGGGAATTGGAATCCAATTCCATTTTGATCCTTCTTTTGGACGCAAGATATCAAACAATGGAGAAGGTGTATGCGGAAATGAAAAATATGAGAGGAAATTTAGAATTATGGTACATTATACTTTGAAATCAAATATCAATCGATGTTAAACTTTGATATTTGATGTTTATGGATGTTTTGGTAAACTTTGATGGTTAGATTCTTTTTGTATTTTAATGTTAAAGTTAAAGTTTGGTTTAGGATTGCATAATTATTGGATGTTTTTTGTGTCTAAATGTTAATATTTGTTTTGGGATTATATAATTATTTGATTTTTTGGTATTATTTTGCTTTAGATTCAAAACAAACAAAACTATGATATTATGTATTTGCAAGGGAATAGCTACGGAAAGAAAAAAAAAAATGACATCTTAAATCTGCAAGAGATCAGCGACGGAAAGAAAAAAAAAATCACATCTAAAGTTTGAGAGGGATTAGCGACGGATTAAAAAAAACAGATATACAGGTTTGCAAGGGATTAGTGAGAGAATGTTGTTATTAGGTTTTGTCGCCAATGTACTAAATAACAGGATTAAGTGCCATTTTGCTATGAATATTCTATCGCTAAGGTCGTCGCAAGAGAAAACTAATCCGTTGCTAAATCCCTTGCTAAGTTATTAGCCACCCTCTAATTCGCTATGGAGTATGTTTGTGGTTGATCCATCGCAAATGATATTTAGCGACGGATTTGTGACGGATTCGTCCGTCTCTAAAACTCATGTTTCTAGTAGTGAAACTAAAAAAACGATTTTACTAACTTTTGTAATAAAGTTTATTATACGCATATTATTACGAAACAAAATAATAAACAAATAATGCATAGACGGATCAATCCAACTTAATCAAATACATTTCTATATGTAACATCAGCATGTTATTAATTACCACTTACTCCATATGTTCTACATGCTTATTTCGCTACCTATAATAAGGATTAAATCAAACAAAGTATTACATGACTCAACAATCTCCAACCTAAGAAAACGAGCATGACAACCCCACCTTACTCCTAATCTCATCCTAAAACCCTCATGCACACTAACTCAAGATTCAAGCATTTTTGTCCTATAAAATCGATGCCTTAATAAATTCTTCCATTCACATAAATTATCTACAATGGGTAAAAACGCACAGGATTTGGCAAAAGATTATGATGAAGAAATCATATTTCGAAGTCGTTACCCGTCTGTCCCCATTCCCGACCTCTTGTTGCCGGACTTCGTGCTCAAAGATGCAGAATCCTACGCCGAAAATGTGGCATTCATTGACGCCGCCACAAAGAAATCCTACACTTATGGTGAAGTTGCTAGAGATGTCAGAAGGTCTTCTAAAGCGCTGAGGTCCCTTGGCATGCGAACTGGTCACGTCATCGTCGTTGTCCTCCCTAACGTGGTGGAGTACGGTATCGTGGCCCTCGGCATAATGGGTGGCGGTGGTGTTTTTTCCGGCGCTAATCCTTCAAGCCATTCGTCTGAGATCAAGAAACAAGTGGAGTTAGCCGGAGCCACACTAATTATCACTGATGACAAGACTTATAACAAGGTAATTAATTAATCAACCTCAGTTTCAATTCCAATACTCAAATCTTGTTTAAGGTCAACCAACATTATTTTCTTGAATTTTTGTAACAGGTGAGCGAATTAGGGTTACCGGTGGTAATTGTCGGAGAAGAACGGGTGCCAGGGACCATTTTATGGGACGAATTGCTGGAAGCAGGAGAACGAGCCAGCAACAGTATGATTGAAAGCGTCGTGACTCAGGACGATCTTTGTGCCCTTCCTTTCTCCTCCGGGACCACCGGACTTTCAAAAGGTGTCATGCTAACTCACCGGAATATAGTCGCGAACCTTTGCTCGACTCTCTTTAGCGTCGGCCCTGACCTCATCGGAAAAGTGACCATATTAGGGTTAATTCCGTACTTTCACATCTATGGACTCACCGGAATCTTGTGCGCGACACTTAAAAACAAAGGGAAAGTGGTGGTGATGGGAAGATACGATCTGTCAACTGTTTTGAAAGCACTGATCGAACATGAAGTCACTTTCGCACCAATTGTTCCACCGATACTTTTAGGGTTAGTTAAGCATCCCATCGCTGAAGATATCGCGAAGCTCCAACTGAGATCCGTCATGTCCGCCGCAGCGCCTCTTGCCCCGGAGATTTACGAGGAATTCCAAAGGAGATTCCCTCAAGTAGTGGTTCAAGAAGCTTATGGGATGACGGAGCATAGTTGCATAACACTAACCCACGGCGACCCAAGAAAGGGTCACCACACAGCCAAGAAACGATCGGTGGGTTACATACTACCGAATTTAGAAGTGAAGTTTATTGATCCTGATACAGGTCGTTCACTACCTACTGATACACCGGGTGAAATTTGTGTTCGAAGTCAATGTGTCATGAAAGGTTACTACAAGAATGAAGCTGAGACAGCTCAAACTATCGACGAACAAGGGTGGCTTCACACCGGCGATATTGGGTACATCGATAAAGAAGGTGATGTCTTTATTGTTGATCGTATGAAGGAGTTAATAAAGTACAAAGGATTTCAAGTAAGTTTTTACTCAAACTTTGATCATGCAGATATGAATTAAAACGACTAATAATAGGTTTGTCATGCAAATTAACAGGTTGCACCAGCTGAATTAGAGGGAATACTTTTAGGCCACCCTTCTGTTGAAGATGCCGCTGTTGTGGGGTGATTACGCTTATATTTTTATTAGCAGCCGAACGTTTTAAGCACTTAAATCGATTGTCAAAATAGTATCATTTTATAAATCATTTATATTTATTAAATTTTTATATAAAATAGGAAAATAAAATTTATTTATTACAAAATTTAAGATATGACATTTATTGAAGAATTTAAAAAATTATGATTTTGACTATTGAACTTCATGTCTATGAACTCTATCCTCGAATAAATAACTTTTTCATAAATCATTCGTATAATAATTTTAATTTTGCGATATTACTTTTCATGTCATTGACTCATTGCAATGAATTTTGACAATAATATTTTTTTTAGGTTTTACATAGCTTTTAACAAAATTCCACTTTATTTGAGTAAAATGAAGAAGTTAAATGACAATGAAATTACAATTTTTTAAACCTTGATATTTTTCATCTTAAAATATCATTTTTTTTTCAATGGAAGGAAATCCTACTACTTTGCACTATCTTGATATATTCCATCTTCGAACACCAACTAAAGAACAAAGTACTTGAGTTTATTTTATGTGCTCCGTACTATATATTTGGACAAAGTCCTTATTTGTAAAAGACGTTTTCTCATGTTGAAAGCACAAAATACAACTAAGTCGAAGAATGATATAACAACTAAACTAGAAAAACATGCAAAGAAACTTATTTTGTGCAATATGATCAGGCCTTCCCAATAAATGAAAAATGAACGAATTTTCTAATAGAATCATAGAGTATTAGTGCAAACTAAAAGGCATTTCTTATAAACTTTTAATGAAATAAATAGTTATTTTGTGATAGCTGTAAAAAAAAAATTGTATTTTGGTTATTTTAGTCTGTTTTAAATACGTAGTTAAATTTTAAAACGTGCAGGTTGCCAGATGAAGAGGCAGGCGAGATACCAGGGGCAAATGTGGTAATGAGCAATGATGCAAAAGAGAGCGAAGAAGATATGATGAAGTATGTTGCGAACAATGTAGCACATTACAAGAAAGTGAGGGTGCTTCATTTTGTAGACACAATACCCAAATCACCCTCCGGCAAAATCATGAGGAGGCTCATTAGAGAGAAAATGTTGGAGAGCATCGCCAAATCTGCTACAAATTAAACAAACTCGGAAGTACAACCTCCAAATTGATGATTTTCTTTCATGTGTCACTTGTTGAATTTACCTTTTTACCCTTTCTATGACTAGCATACAAAATGTATTAGGGTTCAATAAAATTTATGTGCATCTTTTCTTATAATTACGTGTTTCGTATCATGCATCCTAAATAGTTTCTTAATGATAAAGAATTAGAAAACTTGATGAAAATCAAATTCTTGTATCTCAATATCTTACTAAAATGTTATATTGCATCGATTAATCACTTATAAAAATAATACTTTATATCGTATGCGTGCATATATATATATATATATATATATATATATATATATATATATATATATATATATATATATATATATATATATATATATATATATATATATATATATATATATATATATATATATACTAGTCGTTTACCTGTGACAAACGTCGGGTGCGAATAATTTTTTTTTTTTCAGAAATTAGTTGTAGAGACGATTAGTTATTTTGTGCGAATAAGTTTACTACATCTAAATAATTATCAATAAGAGTCATTTTAGTAGAAATGACATCAATAAGAATTAACATGAAAACTTAAGATTATTTACAAATGTACATGAACGTATTAATGATTGTGCATTATTAATCGTACAACACTTTTTTATGCACGTCATTTGATGTGTAGACTTTATTGTTGTTGAATTGTTCATCTAGATTGACTAATATTTGTGTATTGACACGTGATATCCCTCCGGACAATGCCACATAAAGTGGGTCATGTGAGAAAACCGATTTTTAAAGATACATACCTACATTTGAAATTGTTTATCCCTTGACTGTCATTATAAAACATAATCGAGCTGGAAATTGTTTTCTATTTAGCTTGAAATAAAAGATGTCATCTTCAGACCAACATAGAAGAATTATTAACAAAAATACCCTCTTTGCAACATGTTGATCAAGAGTTATTTCGGTTAAAAAATATGTTGTTTTTGGAGTTCAAAAGAAAAGTACATTGTACAAAGTTGCCGAAATATCTCTCTTTTTGGAAACGTTTCAAAGAACATGAAATCATTTCATTAATCAATGCTATTGGTGAATCACGATGGATGCTACGGGCAATGAATGTGTGGGGCGGTGAATAGTTTTCTTTTTGTGTGTAAT